GCTGAAGTGACTGCTGGCTCCGTGTGCTTTTCCAACGCACGCAGTTTTCTGCCCTTGCGGGAAGATGGAGCTGCACGTGCTGCTCTCCAGGAAGCTTTTCCCCTGATCTGCCACGGGCGGCAGCCGCGTCCTGCTGCTGAGACTCTGTTTCTGATAATGTCTGCAGTGGCTTTTGGGCTGGGCTGGGCCTGTGTTCCCACTTCCCAGGAGCTCCCTGTTCCTCCTGGCTTGGCAGCGTGCTGGATGGCAGGCACAGGTGAAGGTGCCCAGTTGTGTCTTGCAGGTGTGTGATGAGCCCGAGGAGCTGCAGAGGAAGGTGACTGCGCTGGCTGCCGCCGTCCGCAGCGCCAGGCACCTCGTCATCTACACGGGAGCTGGGATCAGCACGGTAGGACTCTCTGGGGGTGAGTGGCTGGGGCTTGGGGAGCTCCTTCAGGAGTGTCCCGGTGGTGTTTGGACTGGTTTTGTGGTCTCCAAATGACGAGGAGCCTGGGGGCCTGTGCTGCCTTGCAGACCACCACCAAGACGTGGGATGGTTTCCATCCTGGGATGGTGCCTGCTGCCCAGGGGAGCCCAAGGCTGCCTCACCTCTGCCACTGCGTGAGGAACCTGCTGCTTGAACAAGATCACTGGTCTTGCTTGTTCAAGTGGCTCGAATTACTAGTGTAAAACCTAAAAACAAGTTAGTTAATTAGTGTTTTCTGTGTTAGTGGACAGAGCTGGTGGCTACCAGAACTTAAAAATGACGCTTTAAGAAATGTTTGGTTTCAGTGGCCTCTGGGGAAATTTGGTTTTGCCCCTTCCAATGTGACATATGTCACCTCAGTCTAAACTCAGATGAGAACCTGATTTCACTTCCCCTTTCCAGCAGTCTCTGCTGGCACAGACTGTGGCTCTGGGCTGGGCCTGCGAGTGCTCCTGGCACAAGCAGTTTTGCTGGGGAGTGCTGAGTGTGAGGTGCCAGCAAGCACAGGCTGGTGAAAACAGGGAAGGGTCTAGGAATGGAGTGCTGTAGGAAAATGGGAAGTACCAGGGGTCACACAGAGTTCTGGAGGGACTCCATAGTGGTAAAACCTGAGAAAATAAATCCTGGAGGTGAAGATGAGAGTTGTAAGGTAGAAGAAGAGATGCCAGAGACAGAGAAAATGTGAAAAGGTTTTACTGAAATTAGGAAACTGAGGTGAATGAAAAAGCACCTGTGGACGAGGTGTGTGGGGCTGTGCTGGGTGAGTAGGTCGGGGTGTGGGGAGGAGGATGAAGCCCCCTCAGGCCTCGTGTCCCTTCCCAGGCAGCCTCCATCCCTGACTACAGGGGCCCCAACGGCATCTGGACGCTGCTGCAGAAGGGCAGGAGCATCAGGTGAGGAGAGGAATTCTGAGCTGTGCCACAGAAAGCTGATACTGAAAGAGAAATTGGTGCCAATTCCAACTTTTTTCCTGGTTTTTTTTTTCCTTGCTTCCTGTCAGGGCTACTGATCTGAGTGAGGCAGAGCCCACGCTCACCCACATGAGCATTGCCTGCCTACACAAGCACAACCTGGTAAGGGATTTTTTTTCCTGACTTCACCTGTGTTCCTCTCTCTAAGTATGATAAATAAAACCCAACAGGGGAAGCAGGGTGGTCTTCTGAGCTTGGTGTTTGTCCCATCAAGGTGCAGCACGTGGTGTCTCAGAACTGTGACGGGCTGCACCTGCGGAGCGGGTTACCCCGAGCAGCCATCTCTGAGCTCCACGGGAACATGTACATCGAGGTGAGTCCCTGGGGGATTGGAGTCACTGCCCAGCGGCCTCACGCAGAGATAAGATCATGTCAGCTACTTGTCTGTCACTGGCATAAGGAAAATTAGTATGATGGCCTGGCCTTTGCTCTGTTCCTGTGCTCAAGCCATCAGGTTTGGGGTGAGCTACTTAGACACACCAGAACAGCATTCCCTGCAACGCTGTAGCTTTCTCTGCACTTGCCAGAGCCTTCTGCTGTGCCTGCTCTTCCCCACTCTTCTGAAACTCTGTCGCACAGCCACAGGAACGCGCCCTCGACCTCCACTTGTTCTGGAGGTTTTCCAAACTGTTCCAAGTCACCATCTGATCCCTGATGACCTGTCTTACTGCTTTCAGTGTATTGTCCCCAAAAAGTGCTTTTCTTCCCAGCACAGTGGCCAGCTCCTGGCTGGTGTAAGGGATGTTTTTGTCCTGTGCCAGGTCTGCACCTCCTGCACCCCTGACAGGGAGTACGTGCGGGTGTTCGACGTGACGGAGCGCACGGCCCTGCACAGGCACCTGACGGGCAGGACCTGCCACAAGTGTGGGGCACAGCTGAGAGACACCATCGTCCACTTTGGGGAGAAGGGGACGTTGAGGCAGCCCCTGAACTGGGAAGCAGCAACAGAAGCTGCAAGCAAAGCAGATGTGATTCTTTGTCTGGGTTCCAGCTTAAAGGTAACTTTAGAGACTCGGTGACGATTGTTAGCAGCATTCCCTCTTGGTGATACACCTTGGTGCTGAGCAGTCTCCTCCCAAACAGACAACTGTAAACTCTGGTGTCAGGATTCGCCCACCATCTGTGATAGTCTCTCTTCCTCCCTCTTTCCCCTCCTGGTAATACATTCCTTTTCCTCTCGCTGATACGGTTCACGGTTACATGTGCCTTTGGCTGCCCTGACGAGCCCTGTTTTGTGGCAGGTTTTGAAAAAATACCCACGTCTTTGGTGCATGAGCAAACCGCCTCCCCGCCGCCCGAAGCTCTACATCGTGAACCTGCAGGTGAGGGCCGGGGGGCTGGGGCGGGGCCGCCCGCCCGGACCCCCCAGCAGCCGCGGGTCTCTCCCCGCAGTGGACGCCGAAGGACGACTTGGCCGCCCTGAAGCTGCACGGCCGCTGCGACGACGTGATGCGGCTGCTGATGGCGGAGCTGG